CTTCCTACATGTTATACCAGAGGTGTTCCCACCGTCGCTGATGGGCTTGGCCTTGGCCAGTGGCGGGTCCATCTTGGAGCCAGCTAGCATGGGCTCTATCAGACATCAGGAAAGCTTCTACCAGCTTCTCACAGAAGCCACCCCTGTAACCCCCCGCTACCAAAACCTTGCCACGCAAACCCAATACACAAGGTAATTTCCTGAGCACTACACAGTCTACTTATTTCCTGATTCCCCATCACAACCGCTACTGGAAACACTTGCTATAGGCACAGCTCTCCTGGCTGAACAGAGTTTGAGCTGGCCCCTTGCTGTGACGGAGGGAGCACTGGTCTCTGGGAAGCCAAAGAGAGGGGTTTTTCCCCTCCCTGCATCTATGGGACCATGTACACCCCCTTCCACCTCACAGGCTGCTAAAGTCCTGTATTGCCACAGGTTTCCTCTCATCTTCTTACCAAGTATCCATGAATTTACCTTCCTTAAATTGTAGCTGTGAGAGGAGCAAGGAGGGTGTCTTTGCTTTTTATCACCTTCACCAAGGCAGCATTGAGACTGTTGATGGTGCAGTAGCTTAGCCTGCAGCATTTAGTAACTGAGGAACTCCTAAGAAGATCAACTCAGAACAATCTCTGGAAGCCATCTCATACCAGCTGCAGCAATACAGTGTCCTGCTAATTGGTTATGCAAACCCATGGATAGTATTAAGGAACCTGATAATTTACTGCAGCCTCCCAAGCATCCCATCTGGGTGGCAGATTGGACTGACACTGTTCCTTCTTATTTAAGTAACTCCTGCCCCAGCCTCTGAACTACTGTGCAGAGCAAGGAGTTTCACAGTAGAAACTTGGGAGGAACATCAGTGTGCTTCAGGGTGCAGAAGGAAAGGTGAATAAACGAGCACAGAAGAGGGGCAGTCAGCAGGTCCTGTGTGAATTTGGTTTGATTTCCCCTTTGCCCAGTACATACCCTCCCTCTTCCCTTCTCCTGCCCCTTGGAAAAAAGAACAGAGAAAGGGTATCATCAAGGGACTGAGCATAAAGAAAACAATGGAGACAAAGCCTCTGGAGATCTCACGTGAAGCATCACAAGAACACAGCCACTCCTGGGCCTGCTGGGCTGTAGTTTGGGGAGAACATTTACACAGATGAAACTTGCAGAGAAATTCTGGGAAAGCAAAACGGAGATGCACAGCAAAGGGGGTTGCTCTGTACTCAAGATCCTCCTCTTCATCTCATGAGCTCCTGGGTTCACTAGCAAGCAAGGATAGCCAGACCTTTGTCTTCCTGTCAGTTCTGGAAACCAGTGATACCCTCTTCTTAATTTAAACAGAGACCTCTCCACTCTGTCCAGGCCACTTTTACCAACTGCAATGGTTAACACATATTTGGAAAAATTCTGCAGCCAGCATGTGTTTGTATTCTCCTCACACTTTCAAAAATGATTGTGCTGGAGGAAGGAAGCCTCCCCCTCTTTTGCCCCCTCCAGCTGGAAAATCACCTCTAATCTTACTGCCCTTTTTCCTGCTGTGTATCCTGCCAGTTAAAACTGGGTCTTGTTATGAACTGCAAATAATGTGGCTTTGGCCAGGTTTTTTTCTAGTTCAATTCTCATTCTGCTCATGAACTTAGCTAGGTTTGGCTTGGATTTTGCATCCCATGATCAGCTCATCCCTCTCTCATTTTGACCTCAGTTTTTGCTTGCTGTCAGCTTTCCTATTGCTCTGCCTGGCATCTGCCATGCCATTTTGTTCCTGCTATTTTCACATGTGATGGGCGAATGGGTTCCCTTCCCATTGCACTGGAGACATTTTAGCCCTATGGGAGGGGCCTGTGTTTATTCCCCTATGTACCGCATATTGAGGACATACGCATATACCACCTGGCTGAGATAAAACCTTGTTTGCTGTTTTGGCTTCCAGGATGTGTATTCTCACGTTGCCATTTGACTGCTCCACAGAAAAATACCATCAACTTGGAGTGGACATGACCACCTCTAACAGAGTGTCTGTCTGTCTCTCTAAGTCTCCACAGCAATGGCTGGATAACTTGGGTGGGATTGGGTGGCCTCTGCCCACACCTCCACATCTCGCTTTTAATGACCACTCACTGGAAAAGGTGTACAACTGTATTTAACTATGGACTCTGGAGGGTCTTGTTGTATACCTAGACCTCTTTCTTGGGGGCTTGATAATAGGTTCTCCCCTTTAGGGCCAATCCTTATTTCATTCTTCTGTTTCCTGCTAGGGCAGTTCTTAGACAAAACCACAAGTTTCTCCCTCGGGTATTCTTAAATTCAGCAGTGGCCAGGAGATAAACTTGCCCGTGGTCTTTTAGGGCCTTGCTCCTCTAGAGCTGAAGAGCCCCTTGATGTGCTGGAAGTCAAATATGCCTTCTCTTTCTTTCTGCAGAAGACAAAGCCTTTTAGGAAGTTTCAAAGGCTCTTCCCTACTGCCCTGACACATACAGTAGAAGTGGTGATGTGTCTGCATGTCTTTCCCATTAGACTGCAAACTCTACTGAGATGTTTGGTACTGCAAGGCACAGCTGGCTACTATGGGGACAGCGCAGTCCACAGGAGCTCTGTTGGCTTCGGTGGCATTGCTGCTGTCTCTCTCCTTGACATGTGGAGGGCCCCCACCTGGAGTTTTGTCCATGTTTCGCTCAAGCTCTGTGTCACTGTGGAAACATACAGATGCTACATAGCTGGCAAAACAGTCCCTGACTCTGTTTTCTCTTTGGTGACTTCCTTCTTCCAGCTCCTGGTGTGAGTGTGCACTGCTTGCAGGTACCCTGAGTGTCCAGCTACGTAAGGACAACCATTTTCTGCAGAAAGGAGGTTGTTGTGTAGCACCTGGAGGCTCTCTGAGATCTTTTCATATGCACATTCACAAACTTCCCACTTTCACCCACACTTTACAGTGCTCCTGGAGGGAAAGAGGCTGAGAACTGAGCAGACTTTATTTTGGAGTTTACTGTGCGCTTTTTATACTAATGTATACATGGGACTGATGCAGTGACAGTATGTCAGTGAAGCCATTGCGAGGGCTAAAATTGTTTCCAGGCAAAGTGACAGTCCATGGCCCTACACCTCCAGTGACTGGAAAACCCTCTTTCTCTTACATTAAGGTCATGAGTAACAAGCCTGCCTCTGCTTGCCTGAGCTTTCCTGAGGCAGAGACTGTTTGCGTAGATGGTGTCCTCTCCTCCTGCATGGCCTGCAGGATGAATCCTCATTTCACTCCAAGTGAACAGACACACGCAGCTGTGGGATAAACTGTCATGAGCAATATGAAGTAGGGGGGAGTCACCTCTATTTAAATTTGCTACGTGCTGTGATGTATTTAGGATATGGAGGACGGCATGCGCCTGAGAACCGGAATCGTATTAGCTCTGTGTTTTATACAGTACCAGGTACATCTTACGTGCACCCAAGCACACCTCTGCTTAACCTTTTTTTCTGGTCTAGTTAATCATTACCTACAGAATTCCCCTCACTTGTCCTCTTTGTCTTTAACTCAATTGTTGTCCTCGCAGCAGCTGTAGCCTCATTTATTGCTTAGACATGTAGTGGTGGGCAGAGGTGCTTGCTATTTCTGGCACAGATGTATGAGCCATGGGTCATCTGAAGAAGGTGACTCTGCTGCCTCCAGGATGCAGCCCTTTCCTTCACAGTAGCTGCATACAGTGTTCCTAATTTTGGGAGGCAGCTGCTTTCCACCACCCACCTGAGGAACATGAACTTCTGGTGTCATCACAGGTAATACAAGTTTCACACAACTGATGTAGGTCTACCTTATCTCAGAGACTTCTATGCCACTTTAAAATGGTCTCTTCACCACCCCAACGTGAGCTGGATGTGTCCCTGAACTAAAGAATACAACTTCAATTTTTTCAGAGACAATGATAGAGATTTGCCTTTTCTCTTTATATTTCTCTATCAGCTCTTTCAAATTTCGGCTAGAGAAAAATGTGGTGAGACACCACAGCTGGAATGTGGGATGCCACATGCAGATACCACATCTAGCGGGACCAAAGCACACAGCACTTGGCTGAACTTTGTCTGTTCAGCTCTCCGTGTTTCAGTTTCCATGTTTCGGCTGAGGGCCAAGTGAAGTATCTCTGGGTATGCTCACTTCATACTGACCACCATGGGATGAGACCACTCATGTACATCCTGCAACTGGGAGCAGGTCCCTGTGGGCCACTGATGGGACAGTCACACTGGAAATGTGTTTGTGGCGCTTACTGATCCCATTGAGAGCAGTTTCAGAAAAGGACCCTTGAGTCAAGGAGCCTGAGCTCTTAGAAGTGATCAGACTGCTGGAGGAGGTCTAAACAGGCCCTATGGGCTGCTGAAATAGGCTCCAAAGCTATTGGTCCTGCCCTGTTTGTCAGCACCATGTTCTCCTACAAAAGAAAAAACAGGACACAGGAAGCACCAACACAAGGTGGGAGAATCAAGACCTCAATCCAATGTACTAATAATACTTAGCACTGTACATCACTGTACTGTTACTTACAAACATTAACTAGTACATCCTCACAACACCCCTGCGAGGTAGGGAAGTATTATTATCCCCAGTGTACAGATGGGGAAACTGAGGCACAGAGAGGCTAAGTGACTTGCCCAAGATCACACAGCAAGGTGTTGGCAGAGCCAAGATAAGAATGGAGACGTCCCTTGTTCCCCACCCCATGCTGCCCCCCACTAGACAATGTTGCCTGTCTGGACACGGGGAACCCAAGAGGTCCCTTCGAAAAGCAATGCCTGGACTTGTTGCCTATTAATAATTTTTATTTGCCTTTAATGAATTATTTCACAGTTTTTCCCTCACACTGTACACCATGCTTTCATAGTCCATTCAGCGTTCTGTGGTAGCCCACAGCCTTCTCCTCCGGCACCGGGACAGCTCTGCGGGGGGTGGGGTTTGTAGGGTGATCTGTGCTTTCATTAAGAGGATGTTTAGAAACAGTTTTCACTGGCATTAGACTGGGAGCGTGTGAGCTCTCACTGGAGACTGATAACGCACACTGGAGAAGCAGGCAGAGGGAACTGATGGTAAAAAGGCATTTGCTATCCCCTGCAAAATGACCAGCGGCCCTCTTGGTTTCTTAGCTCTTCCAAGCTCCAGTGATCACTCAGAGTAGAAACTGTTTGTCTCCAACTTGCCTGGTCAGGAATTCGTTGTTCTGGGGGTTGCTTCCCTAAGGGTAATAGGCAGTCAGCTCAGGACCAGAAAGGTCCCGCAGCATTGCCTACTCCAGAAGTGTGACACTGTCTTGGAACAAGGCTGGCTGTAGCCGTTGTGCTCTCCTGCCATGGGGAAGGGGTATTACCGTGGTTGGCAAGCAGCCATATCCAGTGTCTGTCTCTTTTTTCAAAACTGGGATTCAATGAAGAGCAAGGGAGAGTGGATGGATGAGGAGATGAGGAGATGAGGATGAAGCAGAGCAAACAGGAAAATCCACCAAATGGGCTTCTAGGAAGGAAATGTTCCCCCTTGGGCACTTCAGCTGAAGCGGCTTCATTTTCACAAGGCTTCTTTCTCTCTCTGGGAACATCTGCTGAGCTTCATCTCTGTCAGCTGGATATATCGTATGACATTGGTATCTGCGGGGAAAGAGCACACACATACACGTACTACAGTGGTTAGAACTCCCTGTGAAAGACAGACACACTGCACCTTCATCCTTGGTGCATCACCTGGAGTGCAAGGTGGCTCCAGCACTGCCTGCATGAACAGCATCAGTTGAAAGCGGCTCTCAACCAAACCCTGCTGCTTTGGTTTTGGAGGACCTGGTCTGATTTGTGCTCACCATCCCTGCTGGTCACTATCTTGCCTCAGCTAGTTTTTACCTTCTCTCTGATTACTCTTGGTCAGCACAGTTGAATTCACACAGTCGAAACTATCCAGGTCATCCCTGCCTGTCCTTGTGGAATGGCATCGCCGTTGGCTTCCCTTCCCTCAGTGCCTGCATGCAAGCCCATAAAGACATCTTGTGTACAGTTATGCTCTGCCTTTTCACCCTCCTATCCCTTTTACAGCCTATTTCACTCTTCTCACATTTTTCCCTGATGAGTTGAATTGGGAAGAGCATCCTTTACGTTCTCTTTGTACCCTTGCTTTCCTTAAATTTCATATTTGGAAGCCCTTCCACCATGACACTCTATCTGCATTTTTGTCATATGCGCTATGCTGCACACTGCCTTGTCTATCCTGTCTAATGAAGTTCCTAGGGGCAGAGAACCACCGTTCCATCCCTGCAGAGACCTGTGAGATCCCACTACTGTGCAGGTGGGAAGCTGAGCCTTCTTTTTCTTTCCAGTATTTCAGTGCATCAACACAGCATACAGAACATGTGAGTTTTGTTTTACCTCCTGGCCCCAGCAGTGAGGGAACCTGTTCACCCTGAAGCACAGATTGATCTAAACAAGTATGTATCCCCAGACAGGCCTTGTGTTCTGCAGTCATAGTCAATCATTTCTCAAATCGTGTTGATTTACTATCACGAGGGTGGCTTCCCACGCACATGGCATCCACATAGTGGCAAAAGCCATGTGGTATCAGAAGCAAGCAAGCAAAAAAATAGCCACTTTCACTTATGTATCGATTGAAAAATGGTTCTTTGCTCACAGCCTTACTCAGCCAGCCAACCAGGGCCAGCTTAGTCCATTTAAGTTATTAGATCCTCAGAAATCAATCGGAAGTGCACTGCAGCCCACAGTCAGAGGGCAATCTTGTCTCCTCTTCATCCAAACAGCCATGTGCCCCACACCAGCTAGGGAAATGAGAAGTGCTTGAGCTTTCAAAGAGATGAGCAAATTACTGGTAACACATCCAGCAAGCGTGGGTATTGCACCCACCAAAGCAGTTGTGGGTGCAGTTTCCTTTAAACATGAGAAGTGGACATCTCTGTTGTGCCCTCAGCCAGAGCTGACACAGTGGCAGCCGGATCAGTTTCCCTGCACACAGAGCTCTCCACAAGCATGCTGTGGGGCAGCAGTGAGCTGTGGCAATGCTGTTGTGGCTTCTCAAGCTGTCTCTGGCAAGGTGGGTCTCCCTACTGAGTCTTCTGCAGGTTCAACTGCATCATCCTAGTCAGTCCAGAGGGCAGGATTCAGTGATTAAGTTATTTGCCCCATTTGGGGCATTCTTAATGAGCCAAGAAATTCTGCTGTTGCTTGTGTTAGACAAGGTGCACCAGCACCCTGGGCCGTTTATGCATTTCATACCAGCCCAGCAAATTTTAAAGCAGCTTTTTTAAAAACAGAATTGGTTTTAGTTGCACAGCCTCTCAGAGTGAAGAAATTCAGCTGAATTTTAGGCCCTGAATTTTAGGCCTAAAATAAAATCAGTGCGCGTGGCAGGCAGGTGACTAATGCCCAGCAGTGTAAAGGCAGAGCTCATAGCCTGGCCAGAGTCCTGCTGTGCTGCCTGCACCTCACTGCAGTCTCTCTGCTCTGTGCCCTTCTAGGCACTGACGGGCTGCAGCCTGGGTAAACGTCCCTGCTGCTGAGGTTCACACTTTGAACGTCTGCTCGGTGCAGGTGAGAAGTGATAACTGCGTAGGCATGTTAAGAAATCACACCTGCCTGGGCCTGCAGGGACTCAACGCCTGGCTGGGGGGGTGAAGTGGGTTCAGTGCATAATTGGGCAATGAATGGTTGCCAGCTCCCTTAGGCTTGCAGGTAAGGTAGCTAGTTGCTGATAGCACAGCTTCACCCACCTGAGAGATTTCCACATGATTGGGAAGCCGGGGCAAAATAAGGTGTAGCCTGATAGAGGGCGGGAGATACTCCCATTGCAAGTTAGCTATAAATCTCCTGGGCAGGTTTTGGCATGTTTTGCTTCCTTTTTGAGGGCCGCTATTTTACCAAAGAGAAATAATGAGAGCAGCACTCTCTTTACAGAAGTGGAACCCTGTCTTTATCAAGTCTTTTCCATCAAATAGTATTGCATCATACTCTACTGGCAGAAGTATTTCAGTTAAACATAAATGTTAATGAAGAGAAGACTCTCAGTGAGGAAGAAGTTATCCCCTTCTGCTGATGTGGGAACAACAGGTGAGGACAACTCAGATGACCGGTCAGGCCCATACGAAGAGATGCTGGCAAAGCTGCAATGGGAACACCTCCTGGCTCTTAGGACCATGCCTGTGTCCTTGTACAGAGTGGCCTCCTGCCATTTTAAAGGTCATTTCTGCTTATCCCTGTAGTTTTAGAGCCCAGTTGCTTATCTGCTGTGCAGACACCGTGGCCTGGGTTTTGTTCCCAGGACTTCTGAGTCGCAGGTGTTCAGGAAGGCAGCTCCACACAACATGGGCAATCTGGCTTGTACGTGCAGTCTGTGTGATGCCCAAATGTGAGCTTTCAGCGCAGGGCTGTGGGTGTTTGCTGTTGCCAGGTGAGCCGATGGTTTGGTCTCAATCCCAGTCAGCACCTACCTTGAAGATGTGGCTCCACCCATGAGAAAGAGCCAAACAAGGCTTGAAGGTAAGGTATATGTTTGGCTGCCCATGCTGCACCAGCCTCTGGACACGGAGTTCATGGAGGGCCTCATGCATACTTTGCACAACTTAACAGCGGCTTCCCTCTCCCCTAGTAAGAAGGGTTATACAATTATCTTGTGTTATTTCCATCTGCTTTTGTGATTTTTTGTTTGGAGGTAGCATAAGAAATCAGGCCAGACCTAGCCCTCACCCTTGACAGACAGTAAATTGCCGTAAGGGATTTTCTGTGCTGACAGCCCTTTAGAACAGTAAAACCCTTTGCTAGCTAATTCCTCTTTACCATTTAAAATCTCCCCTACCAAAGAGAATAACTGCCAACGATTTGTGCCAAAAACATTCCTTATTAGAAAAAAAAAAAAGACTGTAATACATGACTGTAATAATAACCAAGTGTTTTTACCAGTGAGTGTAGTGAAACCTCAGATAAAGGAAAACAATTGCATTTTGCAGATAGAGACACTGAAAGTGGAGACACTCACTTATTTCAGGTCACATAATGATTCTTGATAGCGTTACCCGATTCCTACTGCTGTGTTTTAACAGTCACATCCTTTCTTACTGTATGTGTTCGCTTCTTTCCCCCTGAATACCCTTCAAGTTTTTCCATAATCATAAATAAAACAGTGGAACAATGGCCTTGAATGGTCTAACAACAACAGGGAAGAGTCTCTGATGCAGAGCTGAAGGCCAGAACTGTTTTTTGTATACATTAAGGGCCTTTGGGGACACTTTCTGGTATGTTTTTGCAGCAAGCTGTGGTATTTGAAGCTGTTGCTGTTGAATAAATTAATATTTATTTCAAGAAGCAATGAGGGATCCCAAATAAATAGTATCACTGGGGGGATGGGGGAGTGGAGAGCACAGAAATACATATTTAAAAAATGGAAGCAAAGTGGTTCAGCTAAAAGGACTCTTTCATATCTGAGCCTAGTCAGAACCTCAAGGTTAAGATAGCTTCTTATTTTTCACTGTCTGTTTTTTCTCTTGCATGGTCTTCTCCATTTCCTGCTTCTGGCAAGGGCTGAAAGCAGAAGGGCACACTGTAAACTAAAATAGGCTAAACTGAGCTTTTAAGCACATTTGCTCAGGGAGTGTGGGGTGCACAGCTGTGCTGTCAGACTGCCGGGAGCCCATGGCCAAGTGCAGCAGATGGGACCCAGCATCCTCATGGAAGGTGGAAGAGGAAGGAGATCCCAGCACACCCCTAAGCACACCCTCCCTGGTGTTCCTCTGGGGCACAGCCACCGCAGGAGCCCTGCAGGACCAATGCCTGTAGGACGCCAACCACAGCCAGCTCAGCCTCCCTTGCCTTCTCTGCTTCAATGAACTTCAGCTCCACTGTGCTCTGCCAGGGCCCAGGGCCACTCCTGTTTCATGCCCAGTTCTCACTCTTCCCTCACAAGTTCAGGTGGAAGAGCTGCTCTGTGGAGTTTTCTTTGCACATGGCTTCTGTTTTGCCTTCTCGTGATCCTTTAATTTTTCTTTGAGTATTAGAAAATTCTTTTAACAGAAATGGTTTAAACAATAGTATGGTTTTATCTCCCTATTAGGCAGTTCTTTGAAAAATAGAAGCATCATCTCTGCATCGTGGTCTTCTACCCCCTTTCTGAGGTTGGGTAGGTTAGTATAAAGGTGGTTGCTCTGGCAAGGCCAAGGTGTTTGAATATATAAATTCTTTGCTGTCCCAGAATGAATTTTTGGGTTTTGACACATGGATGACAGATACTTGGCTGATTTCAAGGCAAAAGCTGAAGCATCCTTGATGAATGTTTTGTGAGTAAATGTCTGTCTCTTTGATCAAATTAAAATACTAACCCTTTACTGAGATGGTGGAAGGCATGGCTATTGGGGATTACAAATAGTGTCCTGACTTTGCTAAGGGGAAAAAGCTTGTTCTCGGAGTCAGAAAATGTAAAGGTTGGGATAGACTCTTCCCCATCCTGCTTTCTTCTTCAAAAATAAACTAGTGAGGGTCCTCTCCACACCGATGGCATTCCAGCAATACTGTTATCTTCCAGGTTGTGCTGCAGCCTCGGCAGTGGTTAACCTTTGGTCACTGCAACCTTGCTGCACTACGAGAGTGCTTGGAGGGGAGTACGGCTAAGGATACCGGGAGTCATGCTCATCCTTGTGGAAATCAATGCAATCAAGTCAGGGACAGATGAAGTATCACGAAAAGAAATGCAAAAGCGCTCAATGCAAAGCCACGTCCCCGCTCCCCCCCATACCTGTCGGCTGGCGGGATCTTGCCTCTTTCAGGTAGTAGAGGGCCTTGTTGAAGTCACCCAGGTGGTAAAACGCCACTCCTGATCGATAGAGAGCCTTGAAGTTCTCGCCTTCTTTCTGAAGCACTTTGAGGCAGTACTCCTTGACTCGCTCGTAATTCACCAGCTCGGCCTGGAGCAGGCAGGCTGCAGGGGATGGGGATGGAGCGGGGGAGACAGACAGACAGACAGGAGAACATTAGTGCCATATTTCTCCCTGCTCCTGCAATCTGCACGGGGGAAGAGAGCAGCTTAGGTGAGGGAAATGACTCAGACCAGTGATTCAGAAAGGGTGCAGTCATACGGATTGTTTGCCAAACTCGATTCTTCGCAATTTAAATACAAACGCTTCTATTTTTGGCATTGCAGAGTGAAGAGATTGTGTTTGCTCCTGGGGGCCGGGGGGAGAGAGCGAGAACGTAAACATCCCTCCGCAGAGCGGGAATGCCGTATGGTCTCGTGGCAGCGACTGGCTTTGTTTGTAGTAAAACCACTTCTCGGGCTGAGGGCTGGAGCTCAAGAAAGTACAAAAAGGCAGTCAAACAGTTATCTGACAAGGAAAAAAGGGACTAAATTGGATCAGATTTTGCATTTGGCTTAATCCAAGGCTGTTAGATTTACAAATAATATGTCTTTTATCCAGGAGGTCCTGTATGGAGTTTTGCTATAGGAAACAACAAGGGGCTCTGCTCTGTTGGAATGTGCTGCTAGCAAACCAGAGACACCTGGAGTTGTAGTACAGGGAACAAACGTGCTGGGCTGTGTGCTTTCTGCGAAGTATTGCAACACAGGTTCACCCTGAGAGGTGAGTTCTGCTGAATTCCTAAAAGAAAAGGTAAAGACAGTGAAGAAACAGCATGCTGAGGACTCTGTGTGCTGAAGGACACTTGTTGCATAAATGTTAAGGAGCTGAAGAAAATCCCCATGGTGAGTTTCCCACAGCTAGAAGTGAAATACAGGAAAGGGGGAGTTCCTTGAGGCATGTTTACAGCCTTGTTCATGGCTTATTGTAGTGCTTACTCTGGTGGGCTAAACTTCATTAGGCATATTGGGCATTAAGAATGGTTTGGGGAAAACTGACAAGAATAGGATACGGTGCAGTCAGTCTCCGGGGAAATGAAGAAAGTTGTGCTGTCCGCAAGCCCACCTGCTGCTGCAACCCAAGGCAACTTTGGGAATGACACGATTTGGGGAAGGCAGGCAGGATGCTGCTGCAAGGATCGGTTCAGAGGCTGGCAGTGTCAAGTGCCAGGGCATGGAGAGAAATTTCCCATGGCAGGTGGTGTTACTCAGTGTGTCTCTGGCAAGGAGGAGACTCACTGCTCCTGGAAATCCAAGTTGTCACAGTTCAGGTGTCACCAATGAACAGCCAGACTTCATTTTTTGCATGGTAACTGCAGCCTGCAACTGAGAGGGTATGATGCCGGGTCAGAAATATGATACAGTTCTTGATCCCCTTCCCCTGCACCCCTAAAGTAAGCCCTGCACCCTCTCTGTACTCACTTTATGTTTCATGAGCAGGAGGTTGGCTAGATGACCTCCAGAGATTCCTTCCAACCTAAATTAGTCTATGATCAGTTAACGTGGCTAGAATACGTTCCTAACCCAAGTACACATTTAAAGCTTAAATAGCTAACTGGGAACAATCATAAACAGATTTTTAGCAGTAGAGAATTGATGGTAGAGATGTGTAGAGCAAGGACTGCAGAACTAGCCCTGCTGCTGGTACATTTGGTTCAGTGACGCAGTAATTACTAATGAGAGCTTTGTCCCATTTGCTTTAATGATGGACTCTTAATATATTTTAACAGCACCTGCCATTAAAGTGCATAGGTATTTCAAAGGCATCTAGTTGCTCGCTATTTGATTGCCAGTTAAAAAAACACATATGTTTCTAAAAGCTTAGCAGCATTTCCTTATCCAGAATTTGTCCCTTCCTATTTGTCAAACATTGATTTTTCTCACTCTGTTTCTAATGGAGCTTGAAATGAGCATGCCTTGTTTTCCTTTATTTTTCAAAGCTATTAAAAAGATGGCTGTGTAAATTTACTGCTGGCTTCACAGCCCTGGAAATGGGACTGCTTTGTTTATCTGACCAGTAGCACGTACAGCAGTGGCAGCAGCTTTCAGCACACTGCCAATCCGATCCAGCCTTTCACGTTCTGTGAAACTGCCTTTCAGAGCAACTGGGGGGGTGGATTTCAGTCTTTCTGTTCATTTACTACTTGGTACTTCCCGTTAGAGTCATAGAAATGACTCTCTGAAAAATCACAGGCAGTCTATTCATGTATATTAACTCTGTAATTCCATATCGGACTTGCTTCATGGATTGGTTTAAAAGAAAAGAAAAAAGTCTCCCGCATCCCACTAATTCATAAACCCAAATGGGCTTCCAGATACCCAGCTGGGTTCTCTCTGTGACTCACGCTCACAGTAAAGATTCTGCAGGGCATCCCCGCTAGCCGTGCACGCAGCAGAGAGAAGCCAGTACCACATGGCTAGCAGGAGAGGCACGCGTTTATCCGAACAAAGCGAGCAGACGGATGTGCAGGAAACAGTGCTGCTGGAAGAGTTGGCCATTTGGGGAGCCAGTGTTGGAAGCGGCTGTTGGAAATGAACCTGGAGGGAGTATCTCCCTTATAAATATTTAGAGGTGCCTGCTTTCAGTTCTTGGTGGACTGAAATCATCTCAATGGACTGCGATTCAATGCAAATATTGAAGCTGTTAGTAATTAAGCTTTCAGAAATGGAAGAGACATGGAATCCTTGTACTTCCTACCTAATTCAGTCAGGGGAGAACTGTTTTGAAAACGTGTTGCTTTCTTACACAGACATGTGCATCTCTGGCTGTTTGTTTACCACATCAAGCACCTCATCACCCTCCTTCTTGGTTCATAATAGGCCCCCAGTGAATCCTTCTGAGGAACAGAGCTCACTCAAAGAGACCGAATCGAGAGGTTTATCCAGCTCCTCCTGCTTTCCTGAAACTGAATGGGTTTGATCCTGCACACCACCATCTCTAGTAGCTCTTTGGCGATTAGAACGGTGCCCTTCACCTGCAGATGCAAACCTGTAGTCACCCATTCCCTGCCGGTCTCGTTCTCATTGTAGTACAGTATCCAGTGGCTATATCTCCAGCTCAGAATGTAGGGTGTCCTGCTTCCCTGCAGCATGTGACGGTTATCCATCGTACTTGGTTATCCTTCTCAATTTGGCAGCTGATTTATTGTGTCAGCTTAAGCAATAAGTAACTCCCAGTTTTTAAAACCTTGTAAGTCACATGGTGATGAAGAGTCCCTATCTGTTGTAAAATAAGCCGTTTTGAAACTACTGGGTGAAATGTGCTGTGGGGAGGGGGAGAATGCTATTAGCTCCAAGGGAGGGGCCCTGTGCATCATGCTTCCCAACTGACTGTTGATGTTTAAGCAAGGAAATAGGAAGTGTGGCTGGTTTTCCTTGTAAGAGGAATGTCAAGCCTAGATTTCTAAGTTTTAATTTGTGGACTCAAATCTATGCCAGCCAGTTCCACGAGCTGCAACAATTTGAGAGGTGAAGTACAGATCTGGTACCAGTAGATAACTCTACTGTTAGAGCAGATTTGTGTAGCCCTCCTCAGCACAAGGTTAGGCAAAACAAAGATTGAAGCACTTGTAGAGCCAAAATACATCCACACCTTTAACCTTTACCAGCAGCTGTGGTTAGCAATGGTGGGAAGTTGTAACTAAAATCCTGGCAGTTGAGGGTTTTGGATTCTACTTTATTGTACCCTGAATTAATTTTGAATTCCAGAGTATCTTTCAGGAAGATATCGAGGCTTGACAAGTGCCAGTGAGAAAGGATCCATGACAGCCCTTTTCTCCCAAAGGTTAATTACTTCCGTTGTTTAAGAAATGTCACTATTTTTCTATACTGGTATTTTGTTTAGCTGCAATTACTAGCCACTGGTACAATCACCAGCCACACCTTTGCTTCCCTGAAAAGCTTGTGTTTGCTTGTTGCATTGGTACACTGAGACTCTGATCAAGCCACTCCTTCATCTTCTCTTTAACAGCCTGCATAAAGAAGCGCCTGGAGTCTCTTACTAAAAAACCACTTATTTTTCAGCCTTCCTCACTTGTATAGCTGTTCTTTGAGCCCTCAAAATGAAGTTCAACTGAAAGTGCTGTCAGTTAGCATCTTACCAGAGAAACCTCCTCTGTGTGAATACCTCTGCAGGTTATGCAAATAGCTTGGTTTGGCCCGAACTTTTGGCTTCTAATTTTGGCTGAGCTAAGAACTAGGCTCAAGACCTATCCGTGTTACAGAACACTTAAGATCTTGAGTGAGCCAAATTACTGTGCAAACAACGTTAGCATATCCCTGCCCCATGGCATGTTCCTTGGGCTCAGCACGCTGTGTTAGTCATAACAGGAATTCCATTTGCTGTTGTTCCAGGAGACGAAAATGCCCTTGCCCTGCAGGAATCTCTTGGGTTGCAAGTTCATATTTCACGAACTCCTCTCTTGTTTGCAGTTCGCTATTACCCAGGTAAGCTGGTAGCGCTGCCCATTTTTAAGATTGTCTTATGCCTTCCACTGTAGAAGAAAGTCAGCTGCTTATAACTTTGCTGGTCTTTTAAGTTTTTGGACTAAAATATTCCATGTGCAGTGTCTGCCTTTGATGTCTGCTTTGGAAAAATGTCAGCCAAGACTGTTCAGGTATTTTTGAAAAACAGGCTAGGGAAACATACCTTATTTTTCCCTTGTTAAAGATCTCTGGTGACTGTCTCTTCGGATTTGTCTCATGCCTTCTCATCGTTTGGCTTTGCGAACTGAAATCTGGCAGATATCATTTGTGTCAAGCAGGTGCCTTCTGTTATCCCCAGGGTAATCTATAGCTGGCCAACTGATAACCTTCTGAAAATAAAACCTCTACAGTACTATATATACTCAGTAGAGATGCCTTAGAATTTGGTACCCAAATCCACTGAATATTTGGTCCACCTTGGGCACAATCTGATCTAGGAAAAAGTGGGGATTTGTAAACTTAAGAGAGCAAGAAAATTCTCTTACTGGCTCACTGGTCACAGGAAGAAGGAAGAGCAGAAAGTGGAAACCAAGCTGAGAGGGGTTGTCATATGACAGAAAGACAGGGAGACAGATATTTGCAAGGGGATGAGACCGGGGCTGAAACACACGTGGGGATAGAGGCACAGAACTGTTTGGGGTGGTGAAAGGGGTGTATGAGTGGGGAGTTGAGGTCTATTGAGGACGGGTTTTTGGGGGGGGAAAGGTTGGGGGGGGGGGGAGAAATGGAGTTAAGAGTTTGGGACAAGGTGCTAAGGACATAGAGACACAGTGCAGCTAGCCTGAGGACCAAGAAGAGCATTTACAGCAGTGAAATCCAAGCAGAGGAAACTAGTCTCCCTAGGTGTGTATGAGAGCAACTCCTCTAGCAGATCACTTAACCACAATCACATTCCTTTTTTTTATCATCTTTTTCTCTGCTGAGTATACTCACCAGAGGATATTAACCTGCAATGCTTAAAGCTAGCCCTTGCAAATATTCTCTGGCGACTGGAGCAGGTGTCCTATGCAAGAGCTAATACTAAGTCATGTGGTTGAACCACTCTCGTATACCCACGCAAAAGGGTCTGAATCCAACTCACCTTTGCTTTCCACCCCTTAGACTGAAAATTTAGGGAATATTAGATTTGCCTTCCAAAAATGTGTTAGCGCCTTCGGCCCACTTTCACTGAGGAGGTTACTGCGAGGTGGGCAAGGCTAATGAGACTGTTCCAGACAACCAGGGGTTTAAAAAAAAAAAAACCAAACAAACAAACCA